GTAGTAGTTCCCTTCAGATCTTTGCAAGTTAAAGCTCTGAGTGGCACTGTAACTGATATGGACAGACGTATAGCTTACCTTCAGGCGCACTATCCGTTCCGTTCACAGAAATATATCTAGATAGACGCCGCAAGTACAGCAATTTGTATGAAAACCAAGCGTGCCATATTTTTTGTACCCACTATGACGTCACAAGAACTATTTAGTGATTGAAACCTCCTTCCGCTCGCTATAAATCGATTGATTGAACGAAATATACGTAAACACGCGTATTCCATTCAATGAATCGAATCTAAATAGAATAATTTTTGTTCAAGTATTTGTTGATTACAAGTAGTCGTAATATTAATATAGTAGAAAAATACTAGAATAAGATAGTTTAGTCCATTGACCTACCAACAAATGGACGTCGGGTCTAATACAACAACCACGAAAAAAATGTCAGAAGTTAACCTATACAAACGTAGTGACATGTAACGAAATATATAAAAACTAAAATCTTTAATTTAAATTGTAACGTCATTGCAGTACTGCCTAATTTTGCTTGCAACAATTTAAGGGCCCAAAAACACCATATTCAGCTTGTACTGGAAATTTAACAAAATGCATCATTATTTTATTATCATAAACATTAATTAATTTATATATATTATTCTATATATATATATACATTATTGTCGATTTTTTTACAAATTCACTTACAGAAATAATAAAGAGTTGGGCAGATAGTCCATACAAATATTACTACAAATGTGAACTAAACGTAAACTCAAATATCCGTAATTTCGAACACCGATTTATATATTTCGGGCAAATGTATTTTCTGACTTCTGATAGGTAATCCCAAGCCGTAAAACGAGTACAACAGTATTTTGTTAGTTATTGCCGTAAAGGGAGAATAAAAAAAAAATAATACAGAAGCTTCTCGCGTATACTGAAAAGGGATACCAACAGAGTACCTATAAATTGTGGGTTGTTTACTTTTAAAATTTTACCCCGTTAAAGAAATTGAAATGAAAATGAAGCCGTGGTAGCCTAATGGTTTGACCTACTGCCTCTCAAGCAGAGAGTCGTGGGTTTGAATCCAGACTTGCACCTCTGAGTTTCTCGGAATTTGTGTGAAATTTATTTTGAAATTTATCATGAGCTTTTCGGTGAAGGAAAACATCGTGATGAAACGTTGAAGAAGGTTCAAAGTTCTCGGAAAACGTGTACAGTCCCCAACCCTCATTGGGCCAGTTTGGTGGACTGTTGCCTAAGCACTCGCCTGAGAGGAGACCCGTGCCCAGCAGTGGGACGTATAAATGGGTTCATGATAATGATGAAATCTGCCGAGACTAAGAAGGGAGAATCAGCCAGACCACATTTAGCTTGGTTGAGTTTTAGTAACGAAATAAAACAATTATGACAAATTATTACTTTTTATTGACTCTTGAACAGTATTAACTTAGTATACATATTTCGAACTGAAAAAACATTGAAAAGTAAAAAAAATACAATATTTAAACTAACCCATGAGTTGGAAAAAAAAGATAGTGGCAAAAGCACGGTATCCCTAAAATCAGCTTAAGCCTGGCTAATTTAATTTATACGTTATTTATTTGATCTCTCTTTCTCGCGTATCATAACCACTGCTGGTAGAAGCGAGATGGCTATATTTGACTAAAGTAAGATATTCTCCTTATTTTAGGAGGTTTATATGGTGCGAACAAAAATCTTTCAATCAAGAAAAACACTTCAAATATCATCTAAAACACATGAAATCGTAATATTCCAGGCTTGTAAGAGTATTTCACTAGAAATTCATACAAGAAAACTCATTGATTGTAAGAAAAATTAAAACTTACGTGTTATGTTATGAATTTTTGTTATGTTGGGAATTTTTCGTTCCGTATGGCTTTTACAGCCTAAAATATAACAATGCACCATTATTGTGAGCTGCAATAATTGTCAATTACTACAAAGGAACGATTAGTAACTTTGTAAAACACTTCTTAAAAGCAAAAACACATAAAATCGATGAACATCAAACACTCGGAAGGATTTGCTGGACTCAACGAGCGTTGAGTCATACAACCAAAACCGCATACGTAGAAAGGGACAAAAAAATTATATTGTTTTCTCGTTGACTCTGATATGTCTGTGCATAAATCTATCTTGCTTATACGGTTTTTATTATTTATAGAGCCCCTCTACCCAATTCTCCCTCTACGGTTATTACTAACGTTTAATAAAAAAATCATTAAAATCACAGCGACTCTATAGTTTCTTTGCCTAAATATTTCAATCGCTTGTCGTTCGAACAATTGAAAATGACCAAGAAGTGTATATAAGCTTCTCGAAATTAACGTAATGGGTCTCTTTCCATCTTGTGCGCATGCAATATGTAGAAAAAGGACAGTTAGCTATTTGATTCTTTTGTGTGCTTTTGCAGTTTATATTTACGATTCATTTATATATAAATTAAATACTATAAAACTGTGCAATATAACACTTTTAAATGAGAATTATGGTAACACAATATATTTGTTTAGTGAAAATATGATACAAAATTCTGTTTTTACACTTTACTGCAGTAATTTTTACAAGTTATTAATAAATGGTACTGCATGATTGTCAACCGCGCTGTCAGTCGAACAAACGAAGACTGTTGCGCGATAGACGCACTGTATGTCATTTTAACGCCCTATATTTGCGGACACTTTTTAGCGCAAACCCGATGTCCATTTTTGGTAGGTCAATGGTTAAGTCCTTTATTTTACTTGTTTTTAAAAAAATGTTGATTATTTGAAAAAAATTAAGACTTTAATTTTTAATCGACTTCAAATATTAAAATTATTGTCCTTCTAATAAAATGAGCTTATTATATAACTTTTTTTATGATAGAAGATCTTATCGATTAACTTAAATAATGAAAGCGCACGTAAATATAGAACTTGCGACTGCCTTAATTAATTTTGCTAGACAGTTTTCTGTTGGCAATTGATCAAATTGATGAATGGCAAGACAAATAAAAATGTTACTACTGACAAAATATGGTAAAATCTTATTAATCAAAAGAGGTTTACTTATTGACGGCCTTGTGTGAAATTTTTGTGATTTGTTTTTTTTTCACGGATTTCTAACTTTGCTACTCCGCACATTTGGATAGCATCTTAGGTGGGATAAACTAGACCACGTTCGTTCTCGAAAGCAACGAACTCATACGTATGACCAACTCCAGGTTTTTGTAAAGACTGCGCACTGTTAATTCTTTACATTATATATTTTTTGTATTACTCGTACAAAAAACATATATAATGTATCCGGCGATGTATGTAATTATTTGTCCACTATATTCGGACATGCGAGGCAACGTGCTGCAAAAATTATCCAAATTACAGATACTACTTATAATATCTATTACAAAACTATATATATATTAGCATCTACTGCAAAACTGAAAAAAAAACGAAACGTTACTAAACGTTATAACAAAAAGAGTTATAGAATATTTTTATAATATTGCTCAGGTCATAATAATTTTCATTCCTTAGTTTTCAAAATCGATCAGAATCGAGAGCAGTGTTGCCTAACGTATACATCACTAAATGTTAAATTTGGCCAAGGAAATGTACGGACAACGGCACATCAGACTACACAGTTTTGTTCGCAAATCGCCTCCAGTGCAACGGAACAAGACACGTCAATGTGTAGCTTGATGTGCTGGCGTGTGTACAAGCGGCCGTACCGCGAAACTGCATTATACAAAAGTGCGTTCGTTCGATATTCATGGCGTATTAACAAAGGATCACAAATATATCGCAGCAAGTAAAAGCCGCAATGTATTAAATATAATATAAATCATACACTCGATTGCATATTTGTTTTCTCGAAATTCATACAAAACTAAAATAATTGTTTTTAAAATAAATTATGCATTTTTTGATTACAAAATCACTTGCCCGTGTAAGGAAACGACCCTGTTTACCAAACTGGTAAACCAGTTATAGTGCTTTTGCGGTTTTTAATGGCACAATTATGCATTTTACGCATTTTCAACTGGTGTTTATCTACGATTGCGTTCTGAAGTGTAGGTTTAGAAGCGGCAATTAAGTGAATTTCACTTACTTTGGGCACGCGAAGTACGTACATTTACGTACGGGCACGGCGTCTATCTAGATATACGTCTGTGGTTCCGTCAGTTGATGTTATAAAAAAAAAGAGTAAATATTTTGGCTCTAATGTTGCAATTTCATGTTCTACCTAGTTACTGACTAACATAACTGCTTACTGGTTAGTAAATTATTATTTAGACACATTTGTATTATTCACATTAAGTTAAAAAAATATATATTTCCAAGTTACACACACATACTTATGTTACAAAACTCTGAACATTGACCTCTGAAGTAGTAAATCTTTACATTTTAAGATTATTAACTCCCGAGCATAGATACTAAATCTATGCTCTCGAGTCGGAGTCTCTTGAGGTTGTGTGACAGTGCCTTTACAATGAAGAAAAACAGGTTCTTAGTATTTAACAATTTCAGTATAGAGTACTAAAAAAACCAACATGAAATATTTTGCATCTAATTTAAATGGGACCATTATTGAGGTACTCGACACAAAAACAGAATTATCAAAATCGGTTCACAAATGCCAGAGTTATCGCGTAACATACATACAAGAAAAGACATACAGTCGAATTGAGAACCTCCTCCTTTTTTGAAGTCGGTTAAAAACCATGCAGATTTTAATTTATTTGTTATTAATTACAAATTACTTAATTATATTTATTGAGATTTTGTTTTGTGAAAGAACTCCACTAGTTATGATTTATGCCACTCAGATCGAACAGAAAAATTTTCGTCGAACCGGTGGGATTGGAGTCCTCGTCCATATTTATTGATTTCTATGACAGTCGGCCACTGTCGCTTCCCATTACTGAGTTTCGATCAAAGTTGTGTTTTTGCCAATGACCTTTTGTTAATACTATTTATTTATTATGTTGGTGACAGAACGCAGTCCTCGGAAATGGGGTATATTTGTCATCGGAGTTGAACGTAAGCCTACCGCATAGCCATGGAGGTTTCGGCTGGGGCGCCAGCTGTATCGGCGGACACCTCTCATGTGTCGCTATGTGTGAGGTGATCGATGCACCTGACGGTATCAACTATCAGAGAACTCACCATAACGATGGTAATTATAGAATAATACTGAAAAGTATTCGTTTTAAAAAATAATCAGAGTTGCATCGAATATTCGGTTCCTATTCGGGATTCGGCTTGTTGGACCTGTTTTTAGCTATTCTTCCGAATACCCAATATTGAATCGCTATGCAGCCGAATACCAAAAACAGGAGGAAGAAATAAGAAAAAACAGTAAATTTTCATATAGGTACTTACCTAGGTAACTTTCATTAATGATGAACATTCGCATTCGCGAAAATGCAATTTTAGCTTCATTATCTAAAAGATCAAAGAAAATGTAACTTAAGAAGTATAAGTAAGTAATTTTTCTGAGAGATCAAGAAAGGGACGAAATATACCTGCTTATTATACATATAGTTTACACTTAAACTTGCAATTAACTAAAAAATCGCTATCGTATTTACAAACCAAAATATTAATCAAACTGAAGTGAAGCAAACTAGGTACTTTCTAAGTCAAGTTATAAACTTGAAAATTAAACTGACTTTTTTGATTCATTGTAGAAAATGATGCAGCCACGCTCCTCACCGAATATTTTATCTTCGGTCAGAGGCCGTATATACTATTCATTGCAACACTAAAAATAATGTCTATTTACTACGCACATGCGTGTTTTAATTTCTCCCTCTTTTATTTTTTCAATTTATAGGACGTTTTCCATCGACTGCTAGTGCTATTTAATTATAGCTTAATGACCAAGTCAGTAGGCTCATAATTATCTTTCTAGGTTAGGGAGTATATGTAGTTAATTACAAGTAAACCTAAAACAGGTGATGGTGTGTTTGGAGAAGAGAAAACACCAAAATTTTTGCACGAGGAGACCGCTGGTGATAACCCGACCAATCAATTGATACCGCATTATTTAGTGAGCAACTGTGACCTGGTTCGTGTGCGCTACCTGCTAGTTTACGCCAAGCAGCCCACCTCCATGAGGTTCACCACTCCCAGTATAAACAGAAATGGTAAGATGTCGTTCATTTCTATTATGTCTAATTTTTAGGCTATTTTTAGTAGGTTCTATTGCCCGGACATAGGTGAATTTGGGCAAGAAATAATTGAACATGGTCCGCCGAGGTTAACCAGGTGGTCCACGGGCAAGAAGCGGTTCTGCCAACGGAAAAACAAACCATTTTTTTATTCCGTGGTTCTACCTATTGGGACAAATTTCTAATAAAGATTACGTTACAGACGGGGGACTCCGACAGTGGCTTTCGAGACATAAGTTGTTTTCTATACTGCTGGGATACGGACTGATGCTTGCCACGATAGGCTTTGCAAACAATCAGCCTATTAACTATTATTACAAGATTTTACTCAAGAAGTTAGACGTTGCCTACAGCACAGCCACAAAAGTGTGATGCGACTTCGTATCTTCTGGGTGTTTTGAAATTGAAAGTGGTTGTGTTCTATTAATTTTTTACATTTTGTTTTATTTTTAGGACTTTTATTAAAGTGATATATATGTTAGTTTTGATTTTTTTTTGTTATTCAATGTTCAAATTAGCTGTTTTATGTTTCATGTATAAAAATTCAGACATATTCGTATACCTAGGTACTGATTTCATAATTTTTTGGTGTACCTAGCTTAGCTTTGGGTGCTTTGTCCGAAATAAACGTGATAGTATTCAATGGGTTATTTGTCTGAAATAAACTATGATTTTAATTATAATTTTCAAGGCATTTTGGTCAAGAATTCTCCACAAAAATGCAGTCACCTAATATCTTCATATGGGGTAGCCTGGTCTAAAAAACGTATCCGATAAGAGTACGCAAATTTACGCAATGTCCTTAGGCTATTGCCGCGAAATTATTTGAAATACGCAACCTGACATCAGTGTCTTTTTTTAGAGCTAGGAAGGTTTATGCGGAAAAATGTTAAAAAGTTATTGAAAACTAAAAAACTGCTTAAATCGTCTAAAACGTATAAAACTTTTTAATATGTACAAATTGTGACGGAAACTAAATTAAATATATTTTGAAAACTGACTTTGTTGATACAAATATCAATAAAAATAGCTCAAAACTTGTTAGTAGAGGTCAAACTGCAAACGATTCTGGCCATTTGCAACATATGAAGTTAGTAGTAGTCTATTCGAAAATGGGTGAAGTGTGTAAGAGTAGGTACGTAACTGGGAGTGTGCGAACTCTTTCACTATTTTTTATAATAGCATTTTTTTTTTAAAGTAGTTTCGAAAGCGGGCCAAATATACGATAAACATAGAGAAAGATGCAGAGGTAGCCAAGATATACAAAGAGCCTATATGCATATAAGTGAAGATTGGGACGGAATGCTCTCAATACCATCTGTGGTCTCTTGAAGCTTGTAATGGATATGAGAGGTTAGGGGCATTTGTGTGATTTGTGTGCGACCGATAAGCGAATACCTATCAAAAAAAGGGGCCAAGTATGTGCCCATGGTACAGTGTAAGAGTATTACCTACGCAAATCCCATTTTACACCATTTTATTAATTACAACCACATTATTAATTATAATCACTTTGCGCGTCACTATGTAAGAGTCAGATTAGTTGACTACTAGATAATTCTAGTAGTCTAATCTGACTCTTAGTAGTTTAGTAGTCTAAAATAATTGTTAATTTTCTAACAATTTTGTTTTCATTCTACTCCGCGACCGTCTCTAACCTCATGTCTTCTTAGGGTGTATTTCCACCAGAGAGGCAAGACGAGACCAGGTAAGACGATTTTGAAAACTTATGTGGCAAAATATCAATTCTCTCCTAGCGCATCTTCGGTGGAAATGGTCGGGATTGACTTAGGATAGGCGAGACGAGATTTGAAATATTTGTTCATGTAATATTGCACCGTATTGCTGCCTACACAGACTCTTTATTGACTCTGCAACGGAAGCACGATTCACGATGTCTCGTACAATATCGGGTGTGTTAGCGCGTGCTCGCGATGGCTATTAATGTCAATCCCGAGATTGTGGGATACAGTCGCGTGCATTGAAATGTAAATGTTCACACATTTTCGTAATTATGTAAATATTAGATATTCCAAAAAATGTACCTTGTACTGTTTTTTTTTAAATATGTAATCACGATACTATTTTAAAATTGGTATACTTTTATTTCAGAGAAAACTAAAGAAATTACAGTCAATGAAAAATATATAGTCCTAGTGTCACACATGCATCCATATCATTTTCGTTAATATTTATGCAATGCATATTATATATTTATAATTGCATTAAAATGTACCCCATAACCCATAACTTAACACATAACTTAATACATAACCCATAGTTTATGATTTTATCATAATTATTTAACCACTTTTAAAACATTGCATCATTTTCCAAAATATATATAGACAATATAGTTGCAATGTAAACATACCAGCGCCAGTTGTAAACTTTTTTATGTGTATTTTGCTAGTTCGTGACATTTGCCCTGGGATAAAAGATTATATAAAAAAAGTTATTTTCTTTTTATTTTTATTTATTTATTTATTTTATCTTAGAAGGTAGAACAGCTTACAACATGATTATTTGCTTCTTACAGTATCGTCATCTGATTCTTCTTTCATTAACATATTTAATAATATGGATTTGCGGGATTTGGTAATTTAGCCGCGTGTTTATCGCTAGACGAATTGAAGAGCACTGTGTATTTACTATCCATAACCCTAGCGCGAGACCGCGCGTGCTCGCGCGAGATTGCGATGGCAATTCTTGGTGGAAATAGGACGGCGAGATTTCAATTCGCGCCTCGCCTCGTCTCGTCTCGCCTCGCCGGTGGAAAAGTACTTTTACACTAGGCTACGCTATATTAGTGTTGGGTAGGACATGGAATTAAAAGGAGTTTGAGGGAGTACCTCATTTGAAAAAATAAGGCGGTACAATGTCCTACTCCAAATGAAGTGAGGTAGTGGTAAGAATTTTTGCACCTACGGCAAGGACTCAACAGAGAGTGAATATTAAGCACATTTTCATAATTTCATGGTAATCAATCAATTTGATAACTTAAGTGTCATGTTATATTATAAATAAATGTTAATTTTATTTGGTAGGTAGTATAATCATAATGATGCAAAATGAGCTAAAAAGCGGGCAGTGCAGCACCAGTCATTGTTTAATTTTGTTGATTTCGAAGCAGTGTGATATGAGGCTATGACATGACGTGAAGTGTGAGGTGGGACCTTTTTATGACATAAGGTGTTGTGACAAACTATCCAAGCGAGTGGTACAAACGAGTTACTCGTATATGAGTAATGCAACACTACTCTATATTACGACATAGAAAGAGGTTTGTGTTCTAGGATTTTTATAAATTATATATCACTGGCTTAATAATATGCAACACAACCAGAACCAGACCAATCAATCGTGCTAACAGTACTTTGATAACCACAAACAAAGCAATCGTGCTAACTGTGCTTTGCTAACCACTGCTTGGTGTGATATTGTTACATTTGTGACGTCACTAATTATTTTTAAAGTACTCGTATAATGCTTCCAAAAGGTAGCAAATAGGTTACACTGATCTCTCCTGTCCTTAGAGGATGGAAACCTATCGTAAACCTTCCCTTTTAACTGCAAATAAAATTTAAACAAAATAGCAATAACAAGCCAATGCTAAACTGAGAGTCGAGCAGTTGGGGTCCCGCCACAATGTGAATTTTAATTGATTTGTGGTGAGAGCACCAACTCAACATCTGTCGACTTTCATGAAGGAGAAGGGTGTTATGTACCGACGTTTCCGAGGCCGGCTACCGGACACCCACGTTGCGTCACACGTCGTAGACAATACGTGTAAATAATAATTAGTAATCTAATGTTTTATTATATTATTATGTATGTCAGTCTATAAGGTATGTATTTATGGTTCTTTGTAACCTGAATACAAATAAATAAAAAAAATACAAGCTCCACGACGCGATCGACAAGATCCATCGATGTGCCACTGATTAGTGTTTCTTTGTTCATCAAGTAAGAAGACCGCCGAAATGTAAATTATTTCGCCACCATTAAAAATTGTCACCAATTCTATGAACGCATATCATGTTGAAACACTGTCACAAAGAGGATTGTTGGGGAGTATTTAGAACAATAGTGAGCAGTCGTTATGGTGCTCTCGTCACGGCCTAGAGCGTAATCACTGTACGATCTAATTTTGATTGTGTCGAATGTCCATCCCGACATAATAGAAAACATCAGTTTCATCGCGGATGCCCTCAGAATATGACTGCCTACTTTTTCAAATACTTACCTACCTAATACAAAAACTCAAATAGCACTTAATTTCCGTGATTGTGATTTGAGAATCCTAAAAATGGTTTTATAGTGAAATCAACATAATGATAAGAGGAGCTTGGAACTTTCTGTATTTTTTTGTTTTGTCATTTGTCCTTGCGCAAGACCCAATTGCTAATTTGCCTCAAGGACGAGCCGTTGGGGTAAGTACCTATAAAAGTACTTGGAGTTCTTCACATACCAATTTAGTATTCATTGGCAAAATAATTTCAATTATTAATTGTTGAATTATTAAAATAATTTAATGTACAATATATCATACCCATTGCTGGTCCAGAATTTTCTGTAACAATAGGTTTAGACCATAGTTGTATAGACCATAATAGCATGGCCCATGTGGGTTGGACGAACATCTTTTTAATCACCTACGCTAGCTTTCATCGCAATGTTTTCTTAGTTGACTTGACCATTATAAATTACAATTTCACAGATTAAAGTTTATACCGAGAACTCTTTGACACCCGTAGAAATATTTTTTGGCATTCCTTATGCAAAGCCCCCAGTAGGGCGGCACAGATTTTCCGCACCAGAGCGACACACGGGCTGGAGAAGAACTTTCTTTGCACACCGGATGCCTCCCAAATGTCCTCAAATCAGTAATAATGGAAACGACTACGTAAACGAAGATTGTCTTTTCCTGAACATTTGGACACCACGGGTTAGATAGTTTTGACCACTACATGAACTAAAATATGAAGTGCTGGCAAGTTAATTCACTCACTAAAATATTTTTCAGTTAGCGTGTAGACGGAAGTTCATTACCTGTTGTGGTTGTACTATACAGTGAGTCATGGGAGAAAGGTGGAATATCTCTGCCCTATCAGGAGTTGGCAGCCGAGGGGGTTGTGGTAGTAACTGTAGCCTATCGCCTCAATTTGTTATCCTTCTTCACGCTTCGCACATTAGGAGCTCGTGGCAACCTGGCTTTACTCGACCAGTACCTGGCTCTTCTGTGGGTGAGGGAGAATATTGCTGCATTTGGTGGCGATCCAACAGCAATTACTCTCCTAGGTCATTCCGCTGGAGCCGATAGTGTACTTTATCACATTGCGTCGCCACGTTCGATAGGTAAGACACTATAATATTAGGGGAAATCATACATAGTCCCACCAAAATGGACATGACGAGTCAGCTATTGCGCCGACAAAATACGTTTTTATGTTAATTGTTTGCTAACGTTTTGCAAGTTAACGAAAACTTTGACGTACAGGTCTGATTCAAAGAGCCATCGTGATGTCTCCGCTAAATATTTGGAGAACTTTAGACAAAGACATAGATGTAAACGCTACAGAAGTTGAAAGAATATCTTTGGAAATGGCCCGTTCTCTGGGGTGCAGCAGTGACACAGACCAAGAAATTTTACAGTGTATGCGAGCCCGATCTATTGCGGATATTATGTCCTTGTATTCGGTAACAGAAACACTATAATTTGTGTGTTCAAATATCCACATCATGACGCAATTGATTTCGCAGTTGTATGTTTTTCAGAAGGTCAATCGAAGCAACAACTTACAACCAATACCGGATGACTTTTTGCCTGAAGCAGAGCAGTTTTTACCTACTCCCTTGTCAGTAGCGTTATCCGCTGGAAAACAACCAATGCAACTCGATGTCATATTGGGCACGACCGACCTTGATGATATTAACAGCAATGGCAAGTACAATCACAAAAAGAAACAGAGTTTATCGAAGGACAGCGGCGGCGTCTAATTTACATCTTTGGAATTTACAGGCGACGACTATGATGAATTATTAAGCAGAGGAGGGTCATATATAGCTGAATATGCGAATACTAAAGCTATTCCTGAAATATTACGAATGTTTTCATTACATCGTTCAGAAGCTTTGCCATTGGTTTGTAATTTCGTTACTGAAGTTCTAGTGCATTGTGGCTTAAATTTGTAAATATTTTTGTTTATGAACAGGTGATACATACGAGTAGTGCGTATAAACTTTGAAAGGAGTCGTTTTATATCCCAAACAGAACAAATATAATAGGAGAAAAAGCTAAAGTAACCTCAATTACAAAATTAAATTCACTGTTCATCAGTAAATAGAACAATTTTCTAGGCTGCAAAATTATACCTTTATAAGTTTGTAGTCAACTCCCTAACATCCTTATAATAGATATTGCAAGTATTTCAATGTAATAGGTATATAATAATATCGTTTTTGTATAAAGGTATTATAAATAAATATAGGTACTATAACTATATTCTGATCTCCGACAATATCAAATCGAGCTTCTATAAATAACACAGTTGCAGTGCCTGTTGAAATCGCAAAGTTCTTTGATCTGAGGAACATTGCCACCGCGCCAGTCACCCTCAGGCATAACTTGACAAGTCCCATGTGACAGTAATTTCACCAGCAACCTTACCCTTCAAAAGCGAAACACAGAAATGCTCACATAACTGCTTGGCGGCAGAAATAGGTAAGATGGCAGTACCTCCCTGGACGAACTCTTTCACAAAAAGCTAGTATTCATTATTTAAAGTTATAATTTAACTTAAACAGTTCTTTAGGTTATTAACACATTTTCAGTTGCTTCAGGCGATACGTTGGGAGTATTGGGGTGCAGGGACACGCGGTCAAGAAGTGAAAGATACCCTGGAGTCCTTGGAGGCACTGGCTCGGATGAAATCGTCCGCTAAATGGGGTGCTGGTGGAGCTTTATTAGCGGCAAGATTGGCCCGTCGTGTATCGCGCCTATATGTCTACCGGTACACGCGACCGGGTATAAACATTCATGGACGACGCTACAACTTCACGGGTATTTCATTTTTATTTTATGATACCAAATGGCGGGACGAACAAGTCGTGCGCCTGATGATAAACGCACGCCTGTAAATAGAAGTTACAGTGCGCCCCAGAACTTTAAATCGCAAAGAACTGGGGGGCACTGCCACTGCGCCTGTCACCCAACGACAAATGCTCCATACTTACCCTTGCCTATAAAACCGTAACGCAGTAGCATTAATGCTCACATTACTGCTTGGCGACAGAAATAGATAAGGTGAGGTATTTCCCTGGACGAACTCTTTCACAAGGAGCTCTATTGTTACAAAATTTCAATATACCATGCTTACTGCAATACAGTAAATTTACTTGTTGTTTAAAAAAAATTACGACTATCGATAAAATACCACTTTTTCTCGACTAAAACGAAATTTATTTAATGAAAAACAATGTGTGCCTTGGTTTCGTTACATTTGTGGGGTTGTCTTCAGGTGCGGTACACGGAACAGATTTAGTTGCTCTTCTCGGAGATGCTCTAATGTTACAAATAGCACGCCGACCGACTACTCAGGAAGAAAAACGATTTTCAACAAATTTCCGGAAATACATTGCCAATTTTATTAAGTTTGGGTAAGATCACATTATTATTTTTAACGAATCTTCTCGAATCAAATGATAGGACATATTAAAACTAACCTTACCTCACCTCACCGCTCCACCACAATATCACGGAGTGTGCGATGGTATTGCATGACTTAATTCCGCCTACCTTCCATCATCGGGCGACAAAGCGTAGGCACGGGTTCCATCCCTGTGCTGTGGATATTCCAAGGATTCGTACGAAGCGTTTAGCTTCCACATTTTTATGGCGAACGGCTATGGAGTGGAATACCCGCATGCCGACATATTCCGTGAACTCTATAACTTGGGCTTTTTCTAGACGAGAGTGAATACGCATTATTTAGTTGTGCATGATCCATCGTCAACCTCATCGTCACTTTTCTTCAGGTGAGATGGAGGTCTAATGCGCACTTTGTTTTTATAAAGAATAAATAAAATTAAAATATTCTGCTTGATTGTGCCATTTTATGACATCATAAGCCATAAGGCTTTATATTATAATCTTTGTAATCATAATGGTTTCAACAACGTCAAAAAGGACTGTTTGAGACTATGATTCTCATCATGTCTTTATTAAGTATAGTTGTGAACCGTTCTTATCGTAAGCGCAAAATGGATCAAGTGTCAGACGTACTCTTACCTGGCAAAAGAAAAATTTCAAAAGTTTTCATTTTACAAGCAGGTAAATTTTCAAGCCAACTATCAAAAACAACGAAAAAAATCTTCGCGCCATTTTTGCAAAACTGATCAACTGAAAATGTTGGTTGACACGTTATTGCTTACCAGAATCAAACTGTACGTACTTAGCATAACTGGTCACTAGTGTACAAAACATCGCAACTCTTAGTATAAACACCTTGTAAGTGCGTTTCTATATTGTGCAATATTTATTAGAAAATCTGTCCGAGTACAAAAGCAGGCAAAATTCATATTTAAACGAACAAAATATATTGTTCTAAGATTTGGAAATTCACAAATCTTTTTTCCTAACACCACTGTAAATCGATGTACAACCAGCTGACATTACAAGTGGTTTATATGAATCGTATCAATTTTTGGATGAGAATTTTCGAATGTTTAGCTTACTTTTCATTTTAAGAGTGTCATGTGAAAAAAATCTTCGGTTAAAAAAGGTGGCAAACCAAAATAGAAATAAATGAAAAATGACCCCATTCTTTTCGGAATCTTTGCAGATCTCCAGCTCCAGAGGAAGAATGGCAACGTTACAAAGTCGGAAATGCACACATTCATGAAATAAAGGATTTGAACATCGATGACGGTGTATGTTCCACTAAGGAGGCGGCGTTTTGGCTTCAATATCTTCCGCAACTATCGAACCTACTAAGCACCACAGGAAAAACGGAGCAGCTCACTTCGGAGAAAGGCAATTTTTTTTACAATATACATATGCGCATGTGATCTTCATCTCATCTGAGTATGTGACGATGAGGTCGACGATGAGCACACCTAAATAATGCCTCTCGCATTCACGCACAAAAGGTCCAAGTTGTCAGGGAATAAGTGTGCGAAATTTATTGAATCTAGTATTTTATTTATTTATTTATTTATTTATTTATATATTTATATTTATTCAATAATAAAATTAATAGTCAGTAGAAAGAACATAACAAATATGTACATATAAGTGATGAGCTGAATAATTGTAGATGAAATATGATTTTAACGAAATTAAAGAATTCTTACAAATATTTATTAGAATCATGAAAGAAACGAGTAGGTATAAGCGTAGTGAGTAGTTATCATATTTTCATCATCATCCTAACTTTAACTGCCTCCGTGGCCGAACGGTTACCATGCCGGACTGCCACGCAGAGGTCCCAGGTTCGATTCCCGGGCCGGGAGAAATGTTTGTATGGCTTACATTTATTTCTCTCGTGAGTTTGGGTGTAATTTGTGATTGTCTATGTGTGTGTCCATGGCACCTGCGACACAGGGTTTCCCTAGTGCGGGGCTATATTGAGTGTGTGCGTTATTTATTTATTTATTTATTTATTTATCCTAAGTCATAAGGCGGCCGCTCATATAGGCATCCTAATATAATGACTCTACACCACTGACCTACCAATAAATAAACCTTTGTTGGTAGATCAATGCTCTACACGAAGACTACAGGTTAATGAACCTACCTAATTACATGTTACAATGTACATTATTCGCCATTATATTGTTTAATCGTTGCGTGCAGGTGAAAGCCGCTTGCGTGGCGGTGTGTTCGCGTTATGCGGCGTATCCGTTGTGCTGCTGCTACTGCTCCTCGCATGCACCATATTGTTGCACAGGGAACGATCGCATCGTTCCATAGACGTGGATTCTCATCTTGGCATTCAATAAAATAAAAAATGTATACAAATTGTGCTATTGTTTTACTCATTCAAATGCTTTATTTGCAAGTTACATGGTTAGGTATATAACAGGTGTTCTTATGCTAATTGTACTTGACATGTAACACCCCGTGGGGGTACTGCAACATTCTGGGGGCACTATTAACTTACTTTATTAACTACATTATTAAAATAAAATTAGGAATAATCAATAATAAAACCCTACATTATTAAAATAAAATTAGGAATAAGTAATAATAAAAACTAATCAGAATTTTGGCAATATCAACAATAAATTTTAGTATTTGCTTTTACATTCAGTTTTTATTCCTGATACACTTATGTCTGGCTATTTGACAGAATTTTTCCAAATTATACTCATTCTAAACAGGCTCCAAGAGCATGAAGTTATAAATTAAAGAGCAGGTGCAGCAGTACGATACGAGTACTAGTATGATATTTGAACAAATGCGCCGAGTTTAATGTATTCTTGATTTTTTTTATGATACCAATTGACGGGACGAACACGTAGTGCGCCTGGTCTTAGGCGACACGGCTGCCCATAGCAGATGCAGTGCCACTCAGAGCTTTAAATCGCAAAGATCTGTGGGACATTGCCACCGCGGCTGACACCCTGAGACATAAGTTGACAAGTCCCATGTAATTTCACCAGCACCCTTACCATTAAAAACCGGAACGCAGTAATGCTCACATTACTGCTTGGCGGCAGAAGTATGTAAGGTGGCAGTAACTATCTGGACCACCTCTTTCACAAGGAGCTCTGCTGCTGCTAAATATACCTTATCCTATAGATGACGAAAATTTCAAATATCATACATATGGACATCCGAAATGAAATTACGTTAAACTATGTTTAATGGTGTAACATAAAATATATTTAATTTGAAATATTTTAACAAGACTTAGGTCAAAACTAAACACACATAGTGCAATTACGTGTAACTAGCATTGGATTATGAGTTTCCATTTTGGTAATTTAGTGGTCAAATCAAATCCGCGTAAATGTTGTGGCAACCAAATTAACGTGATTTAACGACATCTATTGTCATCAGTCCAACAACAAGTAGGCAAGATTAACTAATTGTTACTGTGCAAAAATGAAAGTCGTAGCCATTTAAATAACCAAGTAATAACGATAAATCCCTCCCCTGTAAAATTTGGTTTATTATTATTTATTTATTTATTTAAACACTTTATTGTACCACAAAGTAACTTACAAATTTTCAGAAACAATTTAAATATTTGTATACAAAGGCGAGCTTATCCCATAAAGAGATTTCTTCCAACTAACCTTTGAAAATCTGAGAGGAAAGTTGGTTTTTGGGGTGGCACTAAAAATAGATAAGTAAAGAAATGAAATATACTATACTCAATAAATACACAGATAAATTTAATAAATCAAATGTACATACGAATATATATATATTAAGTAATGTTGATACATTAATACATTATTATAGAAATAAATTGAATGTACAAAATAAAACTATAAATAAATATATCAAATGTAAATAAATATTTCAAAAGCTCTAACATGTGGAGTCTGAACAATCCCAAAATTTCAAAAGAGAACCCTTGAAAACCCGAACGGAAACCGACTGTCTGACCTCGACCGGGAGAAGGTTCCACATACGGGCAGCATTTACTGTGAAGGGTTCGAATATTTTTGGGAACTGTGTTGTGGAAAGACGAGGGACAAATTGGTGCCAGAACGCACGCGGTCACCCATAGCCTGACGGTATTGAAAACGCTCACGTAGATAGCTAGGTGAAGTGGGATGGAAATGGATTTTATAGAGGAAGCATAAACTGTGAGCATTTCTACGTAAACGAATAGGCAACAACTTCAACTCATCTCTAAACTTGGAAATGTGGTCGTACTTTTTCAATCCAAACACAAATCTGATACATTGATTTTGCAGCCGCTCCAATTTATTAAGAAGGTCCTCCGAAACCATAGTCCAGAATAGGAAAAAGAATAGTGCGTATTAGCATAAATTTGGTAGACAGAGGAAGAAAGTACTGCATCCGCTTGAGGGAATGAAGTGATGCAAAGATTTTACGACTTACATCGGCGACATGCTCCGACCAAGAAAGTGTCTGATCCATTATGATGCCCAAATTTTTAACTGAAGTGGAAAAAGGAATAATGGTGTCATTCAAAACTAAATTGGGCATCACCATAGACTCAAACTTGGAGATGGAATGGCGACTGCCAATAATTATGGCTTGGGACTTTTGTGCATTTAAAAGAAGTCCGTAGTTCTTAGCCCATACCGAAACCTTTTGTAGGTCGGAATTCAATGTGCCGATAGCAGTAACTACATCTTCAAGACGGGTTGTAGTATAGATTTGAAGGTCATCGTCATAGAGATGGAAAGAAGACGTGAGAGATGATGTAATTCCACTGATAAAGACCGAAAAGGTATAGGCGATAAAACCCCACCCTGCGGAACGCCAGCCGTAAGGCTACACCAGTCCGAGGTTTAGTGCAGATACGCACTTTTTACCAATACTACATACGCGTATTGACTCTACCCTCGACGAATTAATGATGTATATGAAGTTCCCATTCTGCATTAGGCCTACGCGGAAACTACAGCGTGTGAGATGTCAGTCTCCAGCAGTAGGACTATATAGAGGATAATTATTGACGATGGTATGGTATGGTGTAGTGGACTGGTATCCGCAACACGTCGACTGGGTGCCTACTTTACGTGTATTCATAGGGCGCACTATAAGTTTCCGTAAATGGCCACTTACATAAACAATATTTAAAAAGTACTTACAACATTTGAAAATGGAACTCTTTGGCTGTAGAAACAGTTTGTTTCATCTGACTGTCACTTGTTTTTACATTGTGGCGTCATTTTAGAAATTGGTTGTCTACGTCACCATGGATTTAACTTGTGAAAATTTTCGAAGTATGATTTTCTACGACTTTAAGTGTAATTTAACTGCTCAGCGGAGCTTTGCTCGACTTCATACTGCTTTTGGCGATGAAGCACCATGCAAGACGACTATTTGTAGCTGGTTTGCAGAATTCAAACGCGGTCATGTGAATCTCAGTGACCAATTTCATGATGATCGCCCGTCCACTACTGTGAACAACAAAAACATCCATGCTGTGCGCCGTATGATCAAAACAGACAGGCATGTGAGATACCATGAGATTCGGGCATCTTTACGCATAGGCATGAGTAAAATAAAATCAATACTGCACAAACATTTAGGTGTGAAAAAGCTGAGCCTCGGTCAAATTGCGTGGGATCCACCGAGTGTTCTCGGTGGATCGGCGGGCTCTCGGTGCTCGAAAAACGGATCGCGTCACTTGGTGCAATGCCATGCTTACCAGATTCAACAAAGGAGCGTCAAATTTTGTTTGGAACATAGTAACAAGTGAC